TTTTTAACCAACCCAATTACACTATTTTAGATAATTTACTAAATGGGCAGATCTAACATCCTTGGTCAAGGTCTCTGTTTATTCCAGGACTGTCACACGTGCACCCAAATTTACTTCAGTCATCTGCTGTCTCACCCATGCACCTGGTCAAATGGTCACTAACAGAGAAGTGCAGAGGAGAGCCATCTGCCTTCTGGTCCTAAGAAATACATGGCCCCAGAGTGATCAATTCTGACCTGCTACACAATCACGTGGAGCCTCCTTTGTCAAAGTTTGTACTTGAAATCTTGACCATTTTCAAATATGAATGAGCCCAGGTGGATTCTGGCCCCTTCTCCTTTACCCAGGTAGGAGGATTCTACATATCTGGAAGGGCTGAGTAGCAAACTAAATGGGGCATATTCTTGAGTTACCTTTCTGGACATTGGTGATGTTCTAAATATACAGTTAACCCATCAGTGTCAACACTGAAACATGCTACGCATTCAAGGAAGACTTGATTCAGCTTTCCCCATGAGTGTAACTGATCAACTTTAGTGAAAACTCGGGTATCATGAACAAGGAGGAAAAAAATATATACGTACTTCAGACTTTAATATATTCTTCAGCTTGTTAACTTCCAAATTAGTATCTTGGACCTTCTGTTTTATATCATTAAGTTCATTATGAGTATTATTCAATTGTTTAGACAGCGCCTATGAGAAAAAGATAGCTAGATTTTACTACAAAAAATAAACAATTGCTGTGTCAAAACCACCATGAACAAATTTTAAAATACTTATTATGAAAAAAGTTAATATACCTAATATACAAAGCTCATATAAAAACATTGAGAAAATATGAGTCCAAACAGTAAACGGGCAAAGAACCCAAAAGATGATTCACAAAAAGGAAGCAGAAGCAGATAATACTTTAAAAATTAAAAATTTACTAGATATTAAATAAATGCTAATTAAGACAATGAAATACTATTTTGTCTATAAATTATCAAAGATTTAAAGCTATTCTGTTGTGGAAAGAAATGGGCATTTCCATGTATCATTGGAGTAAACAGAAATTTGCAAAAAGCAAATCTGTGACCCGCTATTTGGTGATGTATGAAGAGGCATTTTTAAATACTAATTAAAAAAACTTCATAAGCTTTGATTCAACTTGAAATTAAGTCGAACAAAATGTAATCAAAAGGAATGTTCATTAAGGCATTTATTTGTTATAGTAACAATACTTACTCACATTAAGTGAAGGATGCAGCAAATAATAGCATCTACATAATGTTATAACCCCACAGAATATTAGACCTCTATGAGAAATGTTTGGAATAATTTTTAAAAACAAGCGAAAATGTCCATTTATAGTTAGTTAAAAAAAATTAGGGTAAAACACTAAAAATATCTCATCTCAATTTGTTAAAAATTGTGGTACTGAGGGTAAAATTCTTTTAAGGTTTCTGTTTTCCACATCTTCTGTGATATGCGTTCTTAATCTGTGGTCCACAAAGGAATCCATCTTCTACCTTTGGGCCCATGACCCAAAGGGAAGAAAAAACTACTCTTGAACATATGAAAATTGTTATGATACCAATTTTCTTATGATTATAAGCAATGTTTATAAAATTTTAACAAAACAGGTAAATGCTTATAATGTCCCTACAAAATATTTATCAAGTGATTATGCTGGACTCTCTGGTAAGTGCTTGCTAGGTATGTTGTGGTTTACTCTCCATTTCTCAGATGATGAACAGCAATTTGAAGAAGTTTGGTGGTATTATCACACTGCCAGGCAGGGCGATTCAAACTCACATGAGACTTAAACACTCCACTCTACTGCCTTCTTATGTAGAAAACCATGATATAAAAGGGTATGTGGTTTTATCTCAGCTACATAAAAAGTTCATGTAAAAATAAAAAATAAAAAAATACATTGAAAATTAGTAAAAACTATGTTAACAGTAGTTAACTATGGGTAGTAAAAATGAGTTTTTAACTAGTTTTTAATAAATATAGGTTATGTTTACCTATATCCTATTTGCTCTAGGTACAGAGTACACAAAATTATAAATTCATATCTTTTGTTTTCATTGCTATTCAATAATTTTTAAAACTAGACTTTATTTTAAAATAGTTTTAGATATACAGAAAAGTAGTGAAAATAGGACAGAAAGTCCACATATACTCTATAATCAATTTCCTCTTTTATTAACATCTTACATTAGTATGGCACACTTACCACAATTAGTGAACCAATATTGAAACATTATTAACTAAAGTCCATTTGTTTTCAGATTCCTTTCATTTTTTTATTTTCTGACTTTTAGAAAGAGAGAGGAAGGGGAGAGAGAAGGAAACACCAATTTGTTGTTCCACTTCTTTATGCACTCACTGGTTGATTCTTGTATGTGCCCTGACCAGAGATCGAAACTGCAACATTGATGTAGAGGGAAGATGCTCTAGCCGACTGAGCTACCAGCCAGGGCCCAGATTTCTTTCATTTTTATGTTCTGTCCCTTTCCTGTTCCAGGATCCCATTGTTCATTAACTTTTCAACACAGTATTTTAACACCTCAGGCAATATTTATAATTTACAAAATGTTGCATCTTTACATCTATTTTTATAAATTAAAAATATTTAACAGCCTGACCAGGCATGGCTCAGCAGTTGAGCATCGACCTAGGATCCAGGAGATCACCGTTTGATTCCCTGTCAGGGCACATGCCTGAGTTGCGGGCTTGATCCCCAGTCAGGGGCATGCAGGAGGCAGCTGATCAATGACTCTCTCATCATTGATGTTTCTCTCTCTCTCTCCCCCTCTCCCTTCCTCTCTGTGAAATCAATAAAAATATGTTAAAAAAAAAAGTCACTTCTCTCTTAAAAAAAAAAATTAACAGTTAAAAACGCAGAGTTTTAAGATGCAAACTAAACATTGAGAGTGACAGTAAAGTGAGATCATTTGGACTGAAGAATTTTCAGTGGAAAGGGAAGCTTCCAAATAGAATTTTTTAATGGTCAAATTAAAATAATGATGTTGGAAATAAGAACTGTGGATAAAGTATGTTGGCTTAGAGAGGAAGTAATTATAAAAGAAATTGTCCTGAAAAGAATTACAGTGCTAAGGACAACCCAAAACTGTGACATAGTTCATACATTCATACTTAGAATGGTTGTCCGTCAAATAGATCGACCATTTTCTTCACATTTCTGAAGGTTTTATCATCATTTGTTGAGTACAAATGTATTCTAAGGTTGAATACAAATCTATTATATCCCCTGTTCCTTGATATATAACATGTTATGTCTAAGAATTTCATTTAGAAATTATGAGGGATATTATGTAATGAAGGTAAAAAACGGCTGGTTCCAAAGCCTGAGCTTTTCTGCAAAATGAAAGGAGAACTGAGCCTCAGAAGAAATATACATTTTCTTGGAGAAAAAGATACTAGGAACAAATGTACCTGGTTCTCTTGTTTGGCTTTGGAAAACTGTTCTTGGAGACTGTCATTCTCATGAGCCAAGATATCTCTTTCCCTGGCAATTTGAGCCAGTTCATCATTTGTTTCATCCAACTGCCGACGCATCCTGGAAATGTCTTGTTCACACATGATTAGCGCTTCGGTAGACTGTCTATTGCACAAATCAAACAGTACATAAGAAGAGACATTGTACCAAAACAGAATAACAAATTGTCACAGGACAGAAGAGGGGCAGGCAGCACGGAAGCATCTGAAGAGTTTTAAACACATTTAAATTTATAGGAACAAATCCTGTGAAAACAGTGCATCGGCGCTTCTCCATGTGGCCCGCGTCTCACTGCGAGAGAGGGCTGCTACCTGTACCTAACGGCCAGTGACCAGCCAAGCATTTCAAAGCCCTGACATTCAACTAGGAGAGCTTTCATCCCACCTCTAGCTGCCTGACTGCCTCGCAGGCAGGTTCCTCCTCCTCTGCCCTCTGCCCTCTGCCCTCTGCCCTCTGCAAACACAAGGAATCTGAGGGCTTAACTCTTAGCCTCCTGATTCTTACTCTGCGCCTTCACTCAGACAAACACTATTCACATCCATGGCTCCCAGCCCCATCTCTCCCCAGATGACTCTGAAATCATTACCTTCAGCCTCGGCCTCTGCCTTACACTCCCGATGCTTATATTTAACTGCTTATGAGATGCATCTACAAGAAGGGCTCAAGGCTCTTCCAATTCAAAGGAAAATCATCTTTTTCCATATTTTCTACGTGCCCAGTATTCATCTCCAGCCTAAACCTGGCATTTTCCTAGCTTTTCTTCCTCACAAGCACCCACCACGGTCCCCACTCCCCAGCCCCAGTCTATCACCATTCTTCAGCGCGGGTAATCTTTCTAACGCAACAATCTCCTCAAAATTCCTTAACGATTTATATCCCAAAGGGTAAAAGCAGGACTCATTTGTCTACAGCACAGGCCTCTGGGTCCAGCCTTTCCTCCCTCCACATCTCTCACCCTTCGGGTTCCAACACTCACCTACTAGTCATTCAAGAGGCTCCTGAACATTATCTGTGGTCTTGTGGTTCTTTGCTTTCCTTTCTCCTTTAAATGCCCCTTCCCCTCCTTTCCCTTCCCTCCCCTCTTCTTCCCCTCCCCTCACCCCTCCCCTTTCCTCTTTCCTTTCCTCTTTCCCTGGCAAACGCCAACCCCTCTTTTACTTCCCTTCTCAGACTTAGGCCTCCTTCCAATATTAGAGTTATAACTCTGTACATAACACTAAGCTCCGTTTCTTCCTATCCTTGTACCTAACATAGTACTTTGCCCCTAGTAAATACTCAAATTCTTGTGGGACGAATGGTTTACCTTGATGCCTGCTCCATCTCAGCAATGATGTTCTTCATGCCTGAAATGGTCTTTTCCTTGAAAAGTAATATAAGCATGACATAAAAATTATCTTAAACTTATTTCTGCTAAAACTGAATGAACAAAAAGAAATTCCCTCCCCCTTTTGATTTCCATTTGGGTTTAAACATTTATGCTCTATTCACCTTTCCTACACTTTAAAATTGAAGCCTAATATATCAATGTGAATATTTGCACTACATAAAACAATAGGTTGTGCTCATTAAAGCAAAGACTACACTACACTTGGGTGACTGATATGAGATCAATATATGAAACACTGTGTTAAAGCTCTGGGCAGCCACCCAGCAACACAGGAACCCGGGCACACTCTGTACTAGGAGGCGAACCACTGGTTTGCATTAGGGTGATCTCCATGGGGGGCAGGGCTGATTCCCTTCCTCACCCCACCTTCTGAAACCCAGGAACGTGAATCATGTGAAACTAAATTTAGTTGTTAAGAACAATATCTTTGATCAGGGATATTATTTATATTAGTCATCAAGAGCCTCTTCAAAAAGCTGCTAGAATGGAGCTACTTATACTATGAAGTTTAGGTGTGAGTTAAATATTTGAGGAAGTAAGCATTAGATCTAGGGCAAAAAATAAATAAAATAAACTACCGATACTGTCCCTTTTCAAGGGTGTGGAGAGAGGTAGATGAGGGGAGCCAGTCAAGACTGAAACGGGTGTGATCATCTTCATGCGTCAATACTATTCCCACAATTCCTTTGAAAATTCTCCTTGATGGTGAACTAATTACAGGTGCTGTTCACACTCAGGCTAACATTAGCCCTGAAAAAGTAGGAAAAATGTTCTTTCCCTAAGTAACTAGATTTCACTTTGCCCTTTGAATTTTAAAACCCTTAGGAAGCAAGGAAACAAGATGAAAACGGAAACCTGTATTTCCAGCCAGTTCTGCTCCTGTTCATTAGACAGCTTAGCTGTGTGTGTGTGCATGTGCCTGCACACATGTGTATGCNTTTCCAGCCAGTTCTGCTCCTGTTCATTAGACAGCTTAGCTGTGTGTGTGCATGTGCCTGCGCACATGTGTATGTNTCCTCACCAGGGGAGTATTAGCTCTGGCTTCCCATTCTGCTTCCCAGTAGCGTGGTACAGGTCCCACACCTGGCAGTCATGGATACTGGAATATGGTGAACATACCCATTGGCAAAGCAGTTCAACCCCTCTAAGCAGAAGCCAACAGAGGAAACACTCCAGAGAGAAAATACTGCTTAAAATGGAATATTTACACTTGCTTTTGAAATACGATTTAATATGCTTCTAATTAAATTCTGAAAAACACTAACTGGACTTCTAGTGTTTCTGAAAGTGATTACTTGGTTAAACTTAAATATGGTTTATAAACCTAAAAAGGACTTTATCAATACACATTCATCTTGAAAGTAAGATAGTCTCAGAAAATTGTAAAATATCCAGGGCAACAAAATTATTGGGTAGAATCCAGTAATACATCCTACCCGCCCCANAAAGTAAGATAGTCTCAGAAAATTGTAAAATATCCAGGGCAACAAAATTACTAGGTAGAGTCCAGTAATACATCCTACCAGCCCCGNTCATATTGCCCTAATACCACCATTTCCAACTGTTGAAAGCTATGCCATCACTACCAATTTAATAACTCTGTACAACTTCAATATGTTTGTCCAGCCAGAGACATGCAGTGAAGTTAATTGTTAAAAATTCAAACTGGACAAGATGGTCATAAAGCCACT